CAGAATAAAGCTCTGGGCCTGACTAACAGGTCACATCCCAATATCCATGTCTTTGTCAATTTTAGGAGGGGGAAAAAGTTGACCACGTTCAACCTGCTGCTGGCTGCAAAGCTGTTCAGTGCCAGTAGTATCCGGTTACATTTGTGGTGTGATCACTTCACAATGACGATATCTGCCATTTATTTGTCTTCAGTTGTATAGAGGCCAGATTTTAAAATATAGAGTTACACTGTTAAACATGTTAATAATAACTCAAATGCTGTGTATATATAGGGATATGTGTCTTGTTTTTTTTTTTTTTTAATAGCCTATGACTTGTTCAACTGTTAAGAAATGATTTTTTTCATTTAAAACAAGAAAATAATATTTCGTATAACATATCACTCTCCCAGATTTGTTAAAATCATAAATCACAATCACAATGAAGAACATATTACTTTGCAACTTTAAAAGCACACTAGCCAAGTGACAAGTGACGTGCAACCCTACCAGGACTATACAATGAGGGACTAGCATCAGGTGACATAAAATGCTACCATTTGGATAAGACTCCCCCAGCCTCAAGTCCCAAACACCTTGTTCAACCATTGGTTTATATTAGGGCCCCGACGACAGTCGGCATGGGGCTTTAAAATAACAAAAACCTGTGTCCCATATTGGGACAAAGTTTAAAACACCAGCTAAGTAAATAGTGTAATAAATACTACACTAACAGAACCAAACTAATACTACAAAAGTATTACATTAGCAAATTAGCTCAATACATATTATGTAACACATCAAACACAGAGCATTTATTTGTTAAATGAACAAATTACTTATTTCTTCCCTCTTGCAGTCTCCAGACAGAACAAGTTATACCTAGTCCATCCTGGCTGTTACTTTAATTCTTTCAGTCCCCAGACATCTTACAGGTCATCAAAGAACAACAAATGAAGTGGTTTGGACACCTAACAAGAATGCCATGGTACTATCCGCCACACTAAAACGTTACAACGGATATAGAGCGAGTGGAAGACCTCAGAAAATATGGAGCGATGGCATTAAGAACAGCCTTACAGAAATGAACATCAGTCCTAATATTGCTCTTGACAGAGCTCATCAACGAACATTAAATCTCTCCCTGACACTTCGCTGAGGTAGAAGGTGAAAGAGAAGAAGAAGTAGAAGTCCCCAGACAGCTGCATCAAATTTGTCCTAAGTATTACTAAAATAAATTTTTTTAATGCAGGCTTAGTTACAACTTATACCCAGTTGGTCCTAACTATTATTACTTTAACTGTTTCTGCCTCCAGATTGCTACAGTATGTTCCACATACCATCAGTTACCCAGTTTGTTCTGGCTCTTACCAAAAATTATATAGTCCCAGACAGTTACAACTTATACCGAGTCTGTCCTATCTGCTGTTTTACCCGTTTCAGTTCTAGACAGATTTGAATGAATTAATGAGATTCAACCCCACCAGGACATCCACCAAGCGATAAACACCCGCTGACACAAACTGCCACATGCGAATAAGGATGCCTCGGGAAGAGGTCCCAGAAACCCCATTCCACTGTTAGGTTATATTGAGACCCCCCTAATACAGCCCTGTCGGGGTTTTAAAATAGCTAAAAATTGTGACCCGTATCGAGACGACAGAGATAAAAGAGAAAGTTTTGCAGCAGTTGTCCAAGTAATACAATAAATCATGATAAATCATGAGTGTATTAATTTCAAAGATATTACAAGATCCAACAATTAAGTAATGAGGCTTAATTCCATAACAATTAAAATAATCAACAGATGAAGATATAACATGCATTTTATTCAAAGTAAGCCATTTGTGCATTGATACAGCAAGTGGCATGATCTTACAAACACTGGAATTACCTCTGTAGTTCTTCAGTTGTTATTGCCCTTAAAAACAATATTACAGGCTATTGGATGTGATCAATATTGTTAAAGCGTCCTTTCAATGGTAACTATAATTTTGGGAATAGAAAATAATCACAGGTAGACAAATCTGGGAAGAGGGGATGGTTGAGAACACACACTTGTTTTGGGGCCAAAAATTCCTATACAACTACCGCCTGGTGAGCGGGTGCATGTATTGTCATGAAGAAGGGAAAAAACTGCCATGTGTTGAATACTCAGGTCAAACTCAAAGAACTTTTTCAATAAAAGTTTCAAAATACTTCAATAACCTGTGGTTGTGACAGTCTGGCCCTCTTATAAAAATTCTTTGTGAATAACATCTTTGCTGTCGTAGTAGCACATCAACATTGTCTTCACTTTTGACTCTTGAGGACCATTTTTTTTTTTACCTTTTAGTGATGATGATGACTTCCACTAAACCCTCATAGTGGAAAATCCATGTTTCATCCTCTGCAACAATCAAATTTAAGAAATGTTTGACACATTTTGCTGATGTCTTTTGTGTACTCAACACGAGGATGTTTTTGGTCATCAAACAACAAATGTGGTAAAAACTGGAAAGCAACTTTTTTCTTGCCCAAATTTTCCATTACAATTTTATGAATGGTCTCTGGCAATGAGTTCCTCATTACGAACAGAAATTGGGAGTCTAGGTCTAGTTGCATTAGTAATCATTTACACACCACTTTTGAATAGTGAATACTACCTGAAAATCTGTGCATGACATAAACAATTATCCCACAAAACTTGTCACGTCAATTCCACTGTCTCAATGGCGCTTTTTTTCTGAGTTTTAAACAGAATTTAATGTTAGCTTTGTGCTCCCTGCTGATTAGGTAACAATGCACCTCCGACTAGGTCAACAAAATGGCGACTTGTTTGTTGTTTGCTTATCGGATGGTGATGAAAAGTCGCCAGATCATTGATGAAGGTTGCCTTTTTTTTTGGATTTTATGCTTTGCTTAATAGATGGTTTTTCTTTCTTGGCCATAATAAAATCAGTCTCATTACTGAATTGTTGGACCTTGTAAAAAAGCACAGGGGTTGCTTCTGTTTATCCAGACTTCTACAGCATGCTCTAATCAAATATTTTTTTTAAATGTAGGATTGCTCTAGCCAGATATTTGAAAAAACAAACATGATAGGATTAATTATTAAGTGATGGTTGGATTTTATGAAGAAGAATGAATCATGCGAGTTTACTAGTTAGTTAGTTAGTTAGTCAACAAATTACCCTCATTGTACAATTAAGTATTCAGTCCATATGTGTAGCAGCTGACACAGGTACCTCTACATTTCTAAAGCTCTTATTATAACTTCCTGTCATTTAGATTTTTAAGATAATAATAACCTCTTAGGACAGAAGCTCACAGATTTATTTTTTACTCATGTATGTCATTAGACGTCAGTCAAGGTTCCAACATAACTGAAGACAAGTTGTTCTTGTGCCAGGGGAGATATCATAAACCTTCCTTTACTGTCCCTGCAACATGTATCAGTTCGTGTGCCGACACACCTCCATGCCATGCAACAAGACTGTCAAGAATCTTCTCTCGTTGTCTTCCTCTATCCCTCCTTCCACAGATGTTTCCAGTGGTCACAACATGTTCTATTTTCCCTCTTCTCATAACATGGCCGAAAAACGATGACTGTCTACTTCTGATGTCTGTGATAAGTTGTCTTCGGGCTCCCGCCTCTTTCAAAACCTCTTGGTTGCTCTTTTTGGCTGTCCAAAGTATTCTAAGCATTCTTCTGTAAAAACCACATCTCTGAGGCCTTAAGAAATTGTTTGGCCTGCCTACCGATTGTCCAGGATTCACAGCCATATGTTAAAACTGGATGTATGTAGCAAGCAAGAATTCTTTTTCTGACTCTCAATGACAAGGATATATTGCACAGATTGTTTTTTATTTTATAAAATGGAGTTTTTGCCTGTCCTATTCTGTTTCTTAAGAAAGACTGCACATGCAAAGCAAAAATTCACAAAGTTGCTCTCAGATGCAACTAACAGTTCCAAACCAGATTGGCAGCTCACTGCTGGCACATACGGTTCAATAAAAAAACTGGCATTGCATTCGCAAAAGTACACACCATTCTGAACATAACTGGCTACCTGTCATTTGAGTTCAGTCAACAACATTTCACTTAGCACAATAAGAATCCAAATCTCAAATGAAGCACTTATCCCAGTAGCTGGGTGATGGAACCTTTGGACTCCCAGTCCAGAAATGGGGAATTTGCATCAGCACAACCTAGCTGGAATAAACAACTTTTAAGAATGTCAGTGGACAGTCGTCTGTCAACCACTTTGGCCAGCAGATCAACATTTCTTACTCAAAATATTTACTCAACTGTAAAATTGTTAAGTATTTGCACATCTGTGTTTTCATTTATCCTATATTGACTTTAAATGTTCTCATGAACTTTTAATGCTTATCTTCTCTATGTACAAATTACACAGGAAGATAGACACATATATATATATTAGCATTACTCAAGTAGTTACTGGCCAGGAGGAGTAGTTGGCCAACAAATTAAAAATACTGGGCTCTCATGAAGGAGACCAAGGATCAAATTCTCGGTAAGGTTATGCGGGTTTTTCTGAGAGTCCAAAATAAAATTCTTCCGCTTCTTCTTTCGTTCGTTTGAAAAGATCATCTATATCTGCAATGTTGTCTCTAGTGTGAACTTCACTGTCTTCCAGTGCATGATTTTCAGACTAGATCTAATCGTTACTTGCACTATCCACACTGACTCTATGAGCCATGCAGCCCTAAGTCTTCTGGCTCAAAGACATCCCCCCCTCCGAAACTCCTTACATACACTACAAAAGTGATAAATACAGGCGGTAATGAGAGTATTTTGATTGTTTGTCAGTAAATAGCCATGGCTGGATCAAAGAGAGCTAGAAAAATAAAGGGAGGTTAAAAACCCACATCACATTAGAGATTGTATGATTTAACAACTTGCATGAGATGGCAAAAAAATAGGAAGATCAGGTGTGAATGGGTTGAGGGTCTATGCTCCATTGGAGACAAATGGACAGAATATGAAGAAATTAAGGACCAAACTGTGCGACAGTTTAGTCAACAGCATCAAGTTCAGGATCCTGGGGTGTAACCAACACAGTGATGTCCTCTGCCAGTCCCATTAGCTGTGAGTGTATGTCCAAGTGTAGAGGGTTGTCTTGCAGATTCAGCTCTGACATACTGGGCATATGTTTCAGCCGCTGAACATCTACTTCTGAAATAAAAAAAAAAAAAAAAAGTAAAATTATGTGACTAATAAGTAACAGTAGGAAGTTAAGGACTCTTTTCATGCCACTAGAGAATTGGGATACCTATTTTATAGACCCTGTGAGAACTCAGTGAGTGATGTGGTCAACACCAAGCCAGTCATATTTCTTTTTCATTCCACTAGCAAGATATCAATGTGGTTGCTTCAGGATACATCAGTTAAGTGATTTTGTATATGCATGTCGCTTTGTTTGATTTAGTATACACTGATGAAGGCTCTATAGCCGCAACGTTTATGTTCTGTTTGTGTTTGTTATACTATGAAACTTGCTGATCTACTTTTCATTCGGTTTTATATCTTTCTATGATATTTTTTCTAGAACCTTTTCTGGTAACCATTTAAGACTTTGGAGCCAAGGTCAATTATAATAATACACTCTCCATTAACTAAGTTTCTCAAAATATATGGGTTTAACCCTGTTGCCCTAGTAACAATTAAAAAGTGGGTCATCACCCACTGGGTACTTCCCCCAAAAGATATAAAAATGTCTTAAGGGAGTTATCAAAAAACATGAACAGGTGCAGATTAAATGAATATGTTCCAGGGTCTAAAAAAATATTATGTATCAGGTGACAATGCTATGACCTCGTGACCTCTATCACTGATGCTTATGGGAAACATCTAACGTCAATCTGAATTTTAAAAAACTATTTGGTTCTCATGAAATACTCTAAATGCTATTTTTAGCTAATATATTCATATCCTGACCTCCTAAACGTTTACGCAAGTGCGAACTCAGCCTATATAACATTACCTATGTGTCTTGTAGACTTGTCATTGCAGACAAGTAGGAAAAGTAAAAATTAAGGAGAAATGTCAGAAGTGTTAGTTTTGTGACTTCTCTGGACAATACGATTAATATAAAGCAACTAAAGAACAGGTACTTCACTGCTCCTGACAGCCATAATCTGTTCTCAAAGGTAGGAGTAATGCCTCCTATTCCCCCAAAGTAAATTCATAACCATACCATTATCTTTCCAAGGATACCTTCATAAAAAGATTCAAGAGGGGAATTTTGTTAGGAAGTGGGGGAGGGGAGATTATAAAAAGAACACGTTAAAAATACTCAAATCTCAAAGGGATGCAAGAAAAATGGGGTTCAGACTGAACAGAAGAGAATTTGCTGAGAAAAGAGAACAACTGTGTGACATAATGACTTCAGCATCATATCAGGAATACCTGGCATAATGATGATTAT